ATGCACCATTAATTACAAGTCAAACAAGTTACAAAACTTTACCGCCCATTTTTCATCTAAACGTCACTTTATAGCATGTCCAAAAAACCGCAGAGGTCTACGGTCCAGCGGTTGTCCACGTGCAGACGAAACAGTCACTACCATGTTGAAACCTCAACATCTCGTTCATCTACCCACCACTGCATCAAAAGAAGAAAATATTGTAAGTGACGTAAAAGAAAAAAAATTTAATAAATCACTTAATGACCTGGATGGACCCCCAGGCTGGCCAATAATCGGAAATTTTTTGTTGTACTTGAGAAAAGAAAACAAAGGGAAAATGCACGAAGTACAGGTAAGTAAAATTATGTTAACATTACAAAATTGAAACTTTTAATAACTTGAATATTATGATGATATTTATTTATTTATTGTATATTATTTATTTACAAGTTTGTGAGTAAGTTAGTATTATGTATGAGTGTATATATATATATGTGTGTGTGTGTATATATATATATATATACATATTTTTTGGATCAAAACTGCATGTTTGGCGTTTGTTAACTTCCAATTTAACTTTTCGATTTTTCTATCGGTTGATCGAATATAATTTTTAAGTTTATTGAGTTGAAAACCAAAATTTTTGTTTATTTTATGCATGATAGAACAAAAAAGTTTTTTTATGATGTTCCTATACCAACTACACCGTTCAAATTGATATGTTGTGTATGTGCCCAGGTGCTCAAATATATATATACTCTGTTTCTCTATTTTGTTGATTCATTGTTTGTTCATTGTTTGTTCATATATATATATATATATATATATATATATATATATATATATAGAGCATATCTCAAGAAAGATGCAATATTCGTTGTTGACTTTCTTGCTTGGAAGTTAAGTTACGTCGGTTGGTCATAGATAATTTTCTATAGGCTGGAAGTAGAATATATATATATATATATATATATATATATATATATATATATATATATATATATATGCAATACTCGTTGTTGACTTTCTTGCATGGGAGTTAAATTACTTTACTAACCAATTATTTTGATAAAAACATAATATATCTGATGTTGCATGTTTGACGTTTGTTAACTTCCAATTTAACTTTTCGATTTTTCTATCGGTTGATCGAATATAATTTTTAAGTTTCTTGAGTTGAAAACCAAAATTTTTGTTTATTTTATGCATGATAGAACAAAAAAGTTTTTTTATGGTGTTCCTATACCAACTACTCTGTTCAAAAAGATATGTTGTGTATGTGCCCAGGTGCTCAAATATATATATATATTCTGTTTTTCTATTTTGTTGATTCATTGTTTGTTTGAGTAACATGTATATATATATATATATATATATATATATATATATATATATATATATATATATATATATATATGTATATGCAATACTCGTTGTTGACTTTCTTGCTTGGGAGGTAAGTTACTTTACTAACCAATTATTTTGAAAAACATAATATATCTGATGATTTTATTTTTCTCAAAGTTATTACGCAGGTTTAGATTCATGAATAATTAGGAATATGTAAGACTTTTCGGCTGCCTCAGCGTCCTGTTGAAAATTGAGATAAGAACAGAGTTGTAGATTAACTTGAAAATTAGTTAATACTAGGAAAAAAAATTGTTATAAAACATGGAAATAGTTTTCGGCGAAAATTTGTTAATAAGGGAGATGATGCTTATTTAAATTTCAATATTCAAATACACGCATAAACACGCATATAGGGCTAAGACTGTAGTAGAGAGAGATATCAATGCATTTTCAGCAATTGTATCACCTAAGTCTCAACCATAATTTTATAAATAACATTCATGGAGTGGCGATGTCTTAGAAGCCAGTAACGCAATCATCAATAAATTAGCTAAAGTTGAAAAGGCAGTGATATTTCTTAACCATTATATATATATATGCGTATATATAAATGTGTGTATATATAAATGTGTGTATATATATATATGTATATATATATATATATATATATATATATATATTAATTTTATTAGTTTTAATTTAATATTTTTCGTTAATTTATTTTTAAATTATTCCTGTTATTTTTAAATTAATAACAATAATATATATACATCAAACAAACAAACTTAGAAAGAAATAATATATCAAACCATCTTCGGTTTTCGAATTTATGCGTTATGAGTGTCGCCGAATGCTCAAGTATTATATAATTTCTAGAAATATTTTCAAATTTTCATTAACAAAGCAATTTAATTATTTCTTTGTTGTAGGTTTGTAACTATTTTTTTGAATTTGTGGCAAGTTGAATGATTGTGATAGTAGCAGGTAGATAGATTTTAATTGTTTATTTATTGTTGATGAGTTTTTTTTGGAACGAATAAAGCTTCTAGGGTCTGTAAGATTCAAGAATGCGTTATTGTCTAAATAATTGTGATCTCCGAAACGTGGTTTTTCTTGTTATTTGTTGATTCGGAGTGTAGTGATTTTTGTACACACAATGAGATGTTGTTCACCTGGCATAATAAACAACTTCGGTAGAATCGAGACTGATATGAAATCTATTTCAGCCTCTCCCACAACAATAAGATTGAGGCAATTTTTTGAAAAATTACCGGTTTTATTGACAAAATATGTTAAAATTTGTGTCCTAAACAAAAATAACACATTTAAGCCCCAAAAGCATAATTTTGGCTACGCCAATGCCACTGTACATTCCATATATACATATATGTGTATGTGAGTGTGTGTGTCTATGTATTTTAAATATTAAATATTCTGCATTAAAATAATATATTTAATTTTAAATTTAGCAACATTTTAATCTTCAAGAGCTCTAGAAAGTGAGTATCACAAATAATTTTTAATACTTGATGGTGTAGTAAATTACTTAAAAGCTATTCAATCTTAACGTAGTGATCAATTGAAATTGTTGCTTTCTTGTGCTATCAAATATTTATTCCCAATGTGATGTTAATTATATTTAATAATAAAGTTATAAAAACCACCTTTATCTAACTATAACTAGAAAACTGAAACAAATTTCATCAAGAGTAATTTTATTACAAGCAAATTGAACTTTTAAACCAAGGAAATATTTTCTAATAATACGCAAAAAATGCGTTTAACACATAGCTAATAAAATAAACCTTCTTTGATTTATGGCCATTTTAATTGAACGGATAAGACAGGCAGCTAGACACACGAATGTTTATGCATTTGTATGTGTGTGAATATAAATGTAAGTCTATATGTATGTATAATTGTAAATACACATGTATGTATGTATGTATGTATGTATGTATGTATGTATGTATGTATGTATGTATGTATGTATGTATGTATGTATGTATGTACGTACGTACGTACGTACGTACGTACGTACGTATGTATGTATGTATGTATGTATTTATGTATGCTGGTGGATGTATGCATGCATTAGGATATGTTTCTATGAAATATGTATTTATATGTGTATCTAGAACATAAGTATAAGAACGCATGTATTTATATGTATCTATGAAATAATACACTTTTGTGCACAATTGAGTGCAAGTGTGTGTTCACATATGAACTGTGATTAATGGTTTGACATAAATCAACGTCGGAAGTTGGAAATATTTATCTTTATCATTGCCTGTCGTCACTGTTTCACCGCAAAGTTTGCCATCCTTTCTCTTTGGCATTCCCACGTTAATGCGGGCACTTTTGTTATTCCATCGAAAAAATAAAATTTATTGAGAAATTTTAAAATATTATTCCACTAACTTTTTTTAATTTAATTATGTCTAAACCTTTTCTGTGTCATCTTACAAATTATATAGAGGTTTGAATTAGCAGTATGTTCAAAACGAATTTAAAATACTTCTGCTAATAATTTTACTGTTACGAGTTCAGTGTTTTGGAGCCGTTCACTCGAGAATTTGAGCAATCTGAGATGAAACTTGTTACATTTGAAATACGCCTAAAATAGTATATTTATTCTGAACCAAAAAAAGCTAACCGAAATCGAAACGTGCTTACGGTTAAAGCAAACCAAACCAAAACTTTGAAACTACTAAGTACAAACCGAACAAGCTGCTTTTTCATAAACCGAATCGAAATTTTCAGTTTTGCAAATTTTACGATTTTTGCACATCTCCATCAAACATTGTGTATTCAAACGATAATGCTCGTTTGCTTAAATAAGAAAGCCTGCAACTCCACTGTCTAATGTTTACCGTCATAAAAAACATGAATTAGGAAAATTTGTGGTCCTGCTTGTAACCGTTGAGATGTTTGAGAATTTTTTTTCTACAAACCGTCTTATAAATTTTTGAATAACAATAATAATAATTAAAGCCCACAATCTAACAGACAGACAGAAACACAGATAAACAAACACACGCAGTCATGCATGCATATGCCTAGTTGCATACACTATACACAAACAGACAAACCATCATTTGATTGCTCTAAAGTTTAGTTTATAAAATTGGATGCGTAATAAATCACGATGATAAATGGTGTGTGCGAAATCCTCTGCCTACTTCACCTAATTTTATAACATGCAGTTCAATGTTTGTTATGCTTTTTTATTCAGCAAGGTTTCTAACTGAGATATTAAAAATTATAAAATGGATTGTAAAAAGTGTTATTCATTAAAGAAAATCTGCAATTATTTTTAATCATTAGCATTTGATATTTCTAACAATCCAACATTTTTGTAAATTATCATCGACGCATAATGTGAACTAATTAACTAGAACAATAATTCATTTTAATGGCCATCACAATAATTTATCGCCGTCATTTATTCCTTAATGATTATTCTTATCTGCATGGCTCCGTTTATTCATTGTATTAATCCAAATGAATGTTTTTGATTGCGTGTCAGTTTACTAGAGCATTATAAATGTATGGCTAATGTGCTTTTAAATAAATAACCTGCTGACTTTATAAAAAATTTAAATTTCGTTTTTTACACTAAAATAATTTTTAAAACTAATTTAAAACATGCATTTTGGCTACGCATGGACTTAAATCTTTTTCAGGCTTCACTACATCGTAAATATGGAAAGATGTTTCGCGAAAAGTGGGGACCAAAATGGCAAGTGCATGTAAGCGATCCAGATTTGATTGAAGAAATTTACAGACACGAAGGCAGATACCCATTTCGCCCCAGTCTTCAGCCCTGGCTGCTCTACAGACAAATTAAAAATTTACCCCACGGCATCACGACCGCGTGAGTTGGCATTTAATTATAATCATCTTTTAATCATCATAATAATTAATAGCCATAATTAACGAAACAGTACCACCAAAATAATTTTAGTATATATATATATATATATATATCTATATAAAAAAATAAAGTATATATATATATATATATATTGTGTGTGTGTGTGTGTGTGTGTGTGTGTGTGTGTGTGTGTGTGTGTGTGTGTGTTGGAAGGAGACCATAATTGATGCAATATTTGATGAAATCTACTAAATTTTTTAGCTTCTAACTCACGGGAAAGATGTACATTCGGTACATTTTATGAAATATGTATTTAATCTTTAAAATAAAAATATAAAACAAATTAATCATAATTTTCATCATAAGTCTTATTTCACATGTGTCACATTTAATTTCACACAAATTTTTGGTTTTTTAAAAAATACCATATGCTTGGTATTCTTCATTTACATACATTTTGTCAAATTGACCGAAAGATAAAAACGAATTTCAGTTATGGCCATGTTGTTGCAAATTCCTGTATGAAACCAGAAATCTGAGTGAATTTTTAATAAAGCATTCAACACTCACTTATAAACATTTAATTATTATTACTGAACAGTGTAATGACAAAAAAATATTTCATAATTGTAAATTTTTATCAAATTCAAGCCAGGGGATGGAATGGCAACACTACAGAACGGAATTTGGCAAACGTCTTTTTTGTCCAAGTGCTACAAAATCCCTTATTGAACCATTGAGCAACGTTGCAGATGATTTTGTGACAAAAGTAGAAACAGTTCTGGCTGATTGCAATCAAAATTTTGATGATAATTGCAACAAGGAAATATATTTTGCTAAACAGCTGCCTAACATTTCATATCTGTGGAGTCTCGAAGGTTAATTTTCCAAAAATTCATTTTTATACCTAAAATTTTTTACATATTTGCTTGTTTTTTCATAAATAACTAAACGAAAATTTTGATTTAGTAACGTGACCATAATTATTTTTGCAGAGATCGCTTGGAAAATTTACATTACATTTATAAATTACAATACATTTTTTTTAAATTTCTTGTCTGATATATAATTACACAAATCAAAATCACACGAGTTTGTACAGTGAAGCAAAATATTCAAAAATATGATTTAGTTAGACAAAATTATGTATTTAAAGAATTGCCAGTTTTTGAAAATTAATTTTCAAGAGCTCGCTGCACTTGCCACATTGTGGACTTGCTGACCAGTTTATCAACATTTTATATCAACAATTTTATAAGTTCGACAATTTTATGATTGATATTAATTTGAACATTCAAACCAAATCAGTTAATAATAGTTACTTAATAACAATTACTATTAACAATTACTTATTAATACCTAATAGCGTTTTTTGAATAACATCAACTTACCAATAAGCTGCCGGGTCCTTCTTGTTTGAAACTCGCCTTGGATGTTTAGCGCCAAGCATACCGACTCGAACACAAAAGTTTCTTGACTCTCTTCAAGAAATGATGACATCATCTTTGTATTTAATTGTCGGCGAAAAGATTCATCAACGTTTAAACACAAGATTTTGGCGTAAACATGAAAAATCATGGGACAACATATTTAGCTTCGGTTTGTTTATGTTTGCCTATTTATATATGTTAAATATATTTACCTACATGTTATGTTAATGACGACGTTTTATTCAAGTTTTTCAAGTTTTTTAAATAAACATTTTTAATTTTTAAAATTTTTGCCTCAGTTACACTTTCACATGTTAACATTTTTGCTTGATTCATTCGGCGAGCTCAGTCTGAAAAACTTTCAGGTTATCCAACTCCAGCTGATACTTATGTTACCAGTCTTGACCATCTGTTTACTTTTTGTATTAAAATTATTTTCAGTGCACAGACAAGCTTTTGCACAGACATACGCTTATTTTCTTACTTCTTTTCTTTTTAGGCCAAATCCGCTTCTTCTATAAAATGCAAAAAATTTATTTATCAATTTCTTTTGAATTTCATCATTTTAAAAATTGTTACAAACGACCGTCGCTGGATTTTATTTTTTCAAATGACAGTCCAATGTTGTCAATTTCAAAACTCAAATACAGAAAGCCGCTGCTGAAGAGCTAGGCTTTCAAATCGTTGCTTCTCTAGTAGCGTTATTTTAACACCTTATGCAATGTTGTGTTTTATGCAATATATATATATATATATATATATATATATATATATATATATATATATATATATTTGGGCTTAGACTATCATAAAAATATAGATCATATTTATAAAGATCACTGCGTTTTCGGCATTATTAAACTTGTAGTTGAGTTTCTCAATTTTTCTAACGAGACTTTTATCATCTTGATAAAGTTTATTAAGGTTAAATAAAAAACTTTTAATATTTATTTGACATTTTTGACAAAACATTAATAATAACGTTTTTACTACAGAAAAGCTCTTTTCGGCATCAACTGCCATCGTCAGTGTAGTTGTATAGTATTGTTCCGTCTTTGTGTCTTTGGTTTTACAGCGACTTTGATTGTAACTTAATTAGAACTAAAGTTAATCAAGTGTTTCTTTGTTGGAAGAATATTGGTATTATTTATTTGAATATTTATTGGAGGTTTACGTTTATCGATGAAAATTGATTCTGCTATCTTCAATTTGAAGTATTCTTTGTTGTAATAAAGTGCTTTGGTGTTATTGTCTAAAATTTTCCTTGTTATAATAGTGTTGTTCCATTAGGTGGTCTTCTCTTGTTATAATAGTGTTATTAGTCTTATTAGACCACCTAATGGGACAACATAACATTATTATAACAAAGGAAATTTTAGACAATAACACCAAAGCAATTTATTACAACAGAGAATACTTCAAATTGAAGATAGTAGAATCAATTTTCATCGATAAACATAAACCAGCAATAAATATTCAACTAAATAATACTAATATTCTTCCAACAAAGAAACACTTGATTAACTTTAATTCTATTTAAGTTACAATCAAAGTCGCTGTAAAAACACAGACACAAAGACGGAAAAATAGGGTTAGGTGGGGCAAGAAGCCATAGTTAAGCCTTTGATGAGTGACTACATCTAAAAAATTGAATATTTCTAAAACATTAGTGATTATTTTACTAGATTGATACCGTGTTTCCTCATATATAAGACATCCCTCAAATATAAGACCTAGCACGTTTTTTGTCTATTTTTCTAATATAAGCCCTCCCTCGAATATAAGCACTCCCTCGATTATAATTTCTAGTATGAATCAGCTGACAACAACAAAAACTTCTGTCAAAACCACACCGGAAACGTCAACTGCTGCAAGATTTTTCGTTTTTCGAGGATTTTTCGTTTTTCGAACTGTTTTTCCTCCTTCAAGCATATCCTGAGGTTACAAAGCTGTCAAAGTAAGGGTTGTTTTTTCTATTTAAATAAACTATTTTGTAACATTTTGCCCATATTTAAGATGAGTGGCAAGAGGAAAAGTTACTCTGTCGAATACAAAAAAGGAATTGTGGAAGAATGCAGAGATCAAAATATTACTGCATTTTGCAAAGAGAAGAAGTTGGACGTACGAATGGTTAGGAAATGGCGAGCACAGTATGATGATCTCAATCAAAAGGTTGAAGATGGGCAGGCAAAAAAAAGAAAATGTGGCTCTGGAAATCGTCCATTCTTTCCAGAGTTAGAAGACATCATCTTTGACTGGATTGCTGAGAAGAGAGAAAACCGTATGGTTGTGCGCAGAGCTGAGATTCAAGCTTTTGCTCTCGAGATGGCTCCTACACTTGACATCCCTCCTGAGGAGTTCAAAGCTTCAAAATGTTGGCTGGATCGCTTCCTTCAGCGGTATGAACTCTCACTACGAAGATCAACAACACTGTTCAAGCTTGAGGGTAAAGAAGCTGTAAAGAGAACTCTCATGTTCAAGTCTTTCATGGATGGTTTGGATTTTTCAAAGTATCAGCTTTCCAACATGATTGCTATGGATGAGACTGCTGTTTACATGGGTCAGGACACTCAAAAGACAGTCGACTTCAGAGGAGCTTCATCAATTTATGTACCATCAACTGGATATGAAAGTGCACGCGTCACCTGCATTTTGGCAATTCGTCTGGATGGGAAGAAAGCTGCTCCACTTCTTATTACCAAAGGAAAGAAAGAAAAGATTAAATGCCAGGGAGGAGTTTATGTCTTGGAATCAGAAAAGGCATGGAGTACGCAGAATGTAATAAGAAAATGGGTGGACCTTATGCTGCCACTTGTTTTAAGAGGAAGTCAACGAGGTCTCCTCATTTGGGACTCTGCAAGCACTCATCGTGCAAAGGATATGAAAAACTTCTTGGCAGAAAGAAGGGTTGATCAGGTTATGATCCCAGCAGGAATGACTGCTTACCTCCAGACCTTGGACATTGCAATAAACAAGCCTTTCAAGGATTACCTCAGACTTGAAATCAATGATTATATTGAGAATAGGATGTCAAGGAACAAAAATAACAACTTCGTGAAGCCTAATCTGCAGGAGGTAGTCTCTTGGGTAAGGAATGCATGGGGCAAAGTCACTTATAGCTGTGTTGCAAAGGCTCTGAAAGCAGGGTACTTGGACAAAACATCGCCATTTGAAGCGAGCTACATCGCAAAACACGATAGATTGGGACCTATGATACTGAAGAAGCTGGAGTCAAATGAAATCTTGGCTGGAATTCAAGGTCTTGATCTGGAAGAAAATAATGATATCCCAGAAGATGATGATCTTATTGTATTTGAATAAAATATTATTGTATTTGGGAAAAATAAATGATGTCGAAAAAATTGGCATAATAATATAAGCCCTCCCTCGAATATAAGACCTAGGGCAATTTTTGGGAAAAAATTAATATAAAACCCTGTCTTATATTCGAGGAAACACGGTATGTCTTTTATCTAATTTTACAAATTAAATTGTTCAAACATAGGTTTCCTATGTTTTATAACACAAACCGTAGACCTCTATAAAATGGGCTTTTTGCCCCATGCATGGGACAAAAGGCCTGTGTAGAAAAACTATTAAAATAAGCCTTAAAAATAGTTTCAAATCAAAAAACGTAAAAAAATTTTAACAGTTTTATTGTACATAAAATAAAAATTGGATAAAAAGAAAATAAAAATTTTATTTTTATTGTTAATTATTGTCCCAATTGATACAAATAAAAGTTCTACGATGGTCTTCTTCCAGCCCTATACAGGAATTATGATGCCAAATGTTACATTTTTGGCATTTTATCCATTGAAATCCTGTGAAATCATTACAAAAAATTTGTGAACATGTCCCACAAGGAGTCAAATCTTTAGATCGCTTGACAACCAACTAAGATGTTGTCATGGCTTTTTGATGTCTTCTTAAAGTTCTTGCAGGAACTCTATATTTTCTGATAACCTTACTAAGTAACTGGCCATTGGTTAGAGCATCCGATGCTTTTTTCAAACTTTCATCATCACCATCATAAGTCGAGCATCTTGTAGATTTTCTTACATAATTTCTGACTATTTTATATCTTAAAATTAAAAATTAAAATACATGAAATTAATTTACACATAAAACATAAATTTCAATACATTTAACAATTAACTACAAGAATAGCTGCCTACATACAAATATCTGAAATTTGTTAAATAATTCAATAAATGTAAATTGGGTCTCTTAACCCTAAGTTACAGAGGCGTTTTAGCCCCATAGACAATGTTAAGAATAAATTTAATTTAAAAATACAAAAAATTGTTCCAACCGATTAGAAGTTACTTTTGTATATGTGAAAATGATTTTTCTTCATAAAAAACCTCCGATCTTAATATCAAGAAATTAATTAAAAACCCGAACACAAAATTTATAACACGACCAATTTTTCACTCGCAAATTATATAAAACTCTGAAACAGAAAAAACAAATGGAGAAACGGCGTGGTTTTATATTCAAAATAATAAGGGTACGTTCTAATTTTTAAAAATTAATTGAACAACTTTCGGTCTTAAACAAATTTCGTGCAAACTGGATTTAGGCTTTTTACCCCATGCGGCGTTTTGTCCCACGTTACCCTACTATATAACTACACTTATGATGGCAGTTGATGCCGAAAAGAGCTTTTCAGTAGTAATAAAGTTTTTAATAATGTTTTGTCAAAAATGTCAAATATTAAGTTTTTTATTTAACCTTAATAAACTTTATCAAGATGATAAAAGTCTCGTTAGAAAAATTGAGAAACTCAACTACAAGTTTAATAATGCCGAAAACGCAGTGATCTTTATAAATAATTGTATATATATATATATGTATATATATATATATATATATATATATATAATATGTTTGAACATTTCGGAAACATTATTGCAATTATAAACAATAGGTAACTTGAAAATAATAACAGTCTACCTAAACCAACTGAATGGCTGTTTGAGAGCAAGACGAAAACTTGTCGCAATTGCACGAAAAATATAATTGCTAAATTGGGCTTTAAAAAGTTTTTCAACTCTTAAATATATTTTTGCAGCATTTGCAACATAAAACTTTCCAAAAAATATGTTTATATTCAGATATTTGGTTTGTTTTAATTTTTTTCAATATTTCTATTAAATTATTTAAAAAAACTAAGTAATTTTGATTTAAGATAATTTGATTTGTTTCTAATGTTTAAAACGTAGTTGTAATCAAATAAAAAATAATTTGAAAACCATAGAATATTAAAATTTTCAGTTATTAGATGAATAAAGTTAATTTGAATATTCAAGGCAAAACACTAATAGACGAGAAGTTGTTATCATTAGAATCTTCAGAAGAGGTAACAGGACCATATCTTAGTCACCTGCTGAAAAATAAAAATCTAACAATGAACCAGATTTATACAAACATCACTGAATTGTTGATGGCTGGATCAGATACAGTTTGTTGTTTTTAGTTTTTCAAATTTTTGAATAATTAATGAACAGATTATATTAATATAATATAGTTGGTTTCCTATGAAAATGCATGTAGGGTCAGTGATGACGAGTACTCAAGCACGTACTTAAGTACCAAGAATAGGATATTTCTTATAAGTACAGAAATAATTTTTTAGTTTTCTATGCTAAATTTTGAAAATTTCTTTTAACCAGCTATTGGCCGCCTAATTTTGAATATAAATTTATATATGTATGTATCTGTGTTTGTATGTACGGCACGCATGTTTACACGCTTATTATTATTATTATTATTATTATTAATATTTAACTTTTAATCAGTTCTCAGAGGTTCAAAATTTGAAATGAGAGTTAACGAAACAACCAAGCAATCTGAGAACAGATCATCACACATTAAATAATAATTAAAAAGAGCAACATTATTCATTAACAATAATATTAGTCAATTGGTAATAATAATTATAAAATTAATAATTATAATAGTAGCAATAGAAATATAAAATATTATTATCAATCAATCCAAGTGTATTGTTGTAAAGAAGTATTGTATTGTCGTAACATGCACGATCGTCAAGTTATTCAATCCACCGTGGGTTCATTGATTTCTGCTAGATAAACACAACTGCTGCAAACAGAGACTTGTTTAAACGTTTATTTTAATGCAAACAACCCTAACTACTGAATTATTCGCAAACCAGAAAAATGCGCTAGATGTTACACGATCGCCAATAATTCACAGCTCAATCCTCTAAACCACTAACTTCAACATAAACTTCAACTTCTTCCTCCTGCTATAAAATTCTCCGCCCCTTATATATCGATAAAGATAGTTTAAATTCATCCATTGCTTGATCATCTGGTTGATACACTATCTTAATTATATCTTAATTACTTTTAAATTACCAAACGTTAACACCAAGCACTATGTTTGAACAATTTGTTTTTAAAACTATGTAAAGTAAACAGGTGTGGCGAGTGAATGTATTAATGTAATCAAACAAGTTTGCTTATTTTTTTAATGCATATTTGATTCCATGTGTATGTTTGTATTAATATAATTTAAGAAAATTAATGGAGAAATATAAATTTAAATTTTATTAAATTTAAGATTATTTAACGAGTTGTTGCTAGGTAAGTATTAAATCGAGGTTTTATCTAGATTTGAGAATAGTGTTTACAAGCTAATAAAGACAGTCACAAGTTAACATAAAATTTAACAATTGCACGCACAAATCCGGCTTTGTTGAATTGTGTTTGTAAATCTGAATTTGTTGCGGGCGATTTTGTTGCATTTATTAAATTCAATATATTAATAGTAATAACAAATTATTAAATACAAAAAAATATTTTGTTACTTGTTATAAACAGTTTTAAACAGTTGCAACATGTGATAACATAATTAATTTTTGTTATGATTTGTTTAACTGTGCGAAGTACATAGGTACTTAGTACTCGCAGTTAATACTTATAAGTGATAATTACATATTTTTAGAACTTGAAACTTATACTTAAATTTTTAAACAAGTATTTAGTACTTGTACTTAAGTACATTTTATTAATACCTACGTCAAAACTGGTAATGGTTCAAGTTGCCTCTGGAAAATATAATGTGATTTAGATATTTTGAATTTGTGTATTTTATATTTTTATATTTTTTATACATAAATTAATACTTGTTTAGTAAAAAGATTTATTTAAAACATTTTCCAGACAGCCAACACATTTTGTTTTGTCCTGTACATGTTGGCCAACAATCCCGACAAGCAAAACTTACTTCGCCAAGAAATACAATCAATCATGTCTATGTCATCATTTGCAGCATCTCAGTCGCCATCTTCGACCATGTCTTCATCGACAAAAAGCAAAATAATAACCAGCAATCACTTGGAAGATATGAAATACTTAAAGTGCGTCATCAAAGAAACTATGCGTCTCTATCCTGTTGTCACTATGAACTGTCGTGTACTCAATCAAGACATTCAACTTGATGGATACACCATTCCGAAAGAGGTATTTTATGTTTTCAATTGTAAAATTTAAAACGCAAATTCAACAAGTGTTCAAAGTTTTTAAAATTTTGTTAACTTTTGATATGTTGCAAATTTTTGAAAAGTAAAATGTGTCGATTGCAAGTAAGTCTTGATAGTGAAGTGCTCGTAATGTCAATGTACGAATGTTGTTGACGCGCACAGTCGTCAATAGGAAATTTCAATTCATATATTAAATGATCACGTTTCAAAGTAGAATCGTCTTTAGAAGTGCAGTTGTTCTTTAGGACCAATTGTGATGTCTTACAATTGTTGAGTTGGTAACTTTTCTTTATATGATTTGTTTGAGGACGACTTCGTCTTTTTTATGTGCCGTTGACATATGATTTCTGTTTTTGAATGTTTTGTTATTTTTTTGTAGTTTTTGTTGAATGGTGCTTTCAATGATTGATGTTTTATAACCGTTGCTAGTAGATTAATAATTCTTTTCAGTTCCGCTTTGCGATCCTCAGTTGAGGATGAATGTGTGAATGCACGGTTCACAAAGGATTTTAATACACTTATTTTGAATTGTTACGTGCATTCGCTTAACCCATTTAAATAAATATCTTTATTTGTAGCTTCGACGTTTACGCCAGTTGTAAATCTTTGTTCATCATGCATTATCAAAGCATCCAAAAATGGCATAAATTTTCACTTTCATACTCAATGGTGAAATTCAATTTTAATCTGTTCCGAGTTGCTAGTAGCCTGTTAGCTTGTTCCGGATTATCGTATGCGACGGAGATTTCGTCAACATATCTGGCATAAACAATTGGTTTTAATTCTTTTCTACAGAGACTACAGTAAAACAACAATATATCAATATATTCTAAGCCGACAATGACAACGACAACGAAGTTGAAGATTGTAAAACTAATTAAACGAGCGTTAAGTATTTACTTTAAACAAACAAGGAATCAACAAAGTAGAGTAGAGGCACAGTATATATATAGTTGGGCATCTGGGACCATACACAATATATCAAATTGAACACCGAAGATGGTATAGGAATACCGAAAAAAGCTTTTTTGTTCTATCATGTATAATATAAATAAAAATTTTGGTTTTGAACTCAAAAAACATGAAATGATTTACGATCAAGTTACAAAAATCGAAAAGCTAAATGAAAGTTAC